TACTGCTTTTGTTACAGCTTTTAAAACGGGTACGATGTTGGCTAACCACTCCACATATTTGGCTGGTCTGATAAAGCCAGCTTTCACTAGCCTCTCAATCTCTTCTTTGACCTTTTCTTCTATCTCCTTTGACATCCTCCGTGGTGCTTGCTTGACCGGTTTATATCCTTCCTTGATAGGCATTCTATGTTCCACCAAGGTTGGATCTAACCCTGGCATCTCGGTGTAATGCCAAGAAAAACAGTCTTTGAATTCTTGCAGGAGACAAATAATCCTGGCCCGATCCTTGGCCCCTAATAAACCACTGATCTGTATTGGTCTTGGATCATTCTCTGTGCCTAGATCAATAACTTCCAAAGGATCCTGAACTTCGGGTGATGGTTTATCAGGTTCTGCACATAAAAATTCGACCAATTCTGGGCTCTCGGGCAAGTCGTCTGGCCCATCTAGATCATATATGCACTCGGCCATCTGAATAGCCTTATCCAGTTCTTCACTGCAAGATTCCTCTTCATTTTCATGCTGGCTGGTCGAAGCTTCTTCCTGCCATTCTTGCTCTTCTTGCTCCCTCTCTTGTCTTCTTCCTTTCCCATATACCAACAGCCTTTTAATCAGGGATCTGACTGCCATGACCTGATATTTCTTCTTTTGTTCAGTCATTGATGGTGTAGGGAAATTGGTATGAGACAGGGTCTATCCCATTCCTCCTTAGTAAGGAGCATTCCTTGTTCCAAAAGCTTTTGGGCCGTCACCTTGGTAGGGCGGCCGTTCTTATCAGCTCCTGAACATTTCAAGATTCCTACGTTGGGATTGTAGAAACCTGTTTCCGCAACACTGGCCGAGGGGAGGAACGGCCGTGTTTTGGCCTCTACTATCTCCCAAAAGCCTGGTCCTTCAACACCCGCCTCATGATATACCGCCACTTGTTGATAAAGAGTGGAAGGTATGGCTAAACTTTGATGGATCCAATCTCTTACGAGTAAGGCTCCGTAAGTGGAGGTGCAGTCCACCACAAAGAATGCCAGCATTATCTTTTTGGATCCCAAGTCCACCTCCAAAGGTAATATGCCATGAGTCTTAGTGATGGCACCTGAGAAGCTAGAGACCGTAAGGTCCGTGGGAATAAGATCTTCCGTACCTCTCCCCATCTTCCTCATCTGCTTGGCCGGTAACACGTTAACCGCTGCTCCTCCATCAATCAAAATTCTTTTGAAGGGCACACCTTCTAGGTGAGCTGAAACATATATAGGCTTCAGATGGTTGGCCAATGAAATACTCGGACGGCTAAACACCATCTCATTTGTGTAAATCCTTAGAGGACCACCTTTGGATGTTTCTGAGGGCTCAGCTTTGCCAAAGTCTTCTTCTTCCGCTATATCCACATTGACTTGTGCCATCATTGGCTCGGTTGTTAAGTAATCACCCTCCATAGTAGTAGGTTGATCAGGTCTGACACCAAAAGTGGCGGATAATATATACGCCATGTTGATGTGGAAATTACTGGGCTCGAGTACATCCTCCTTCTTGCTCCCAATATGGTCCATGAATTCATCTAACCAGGCCATCGCATCGGCTGGGAGCAGAGGTTCTGGTATCCCCTCCTGTTGTAGTTGACCCATGCCCTCGTACAACGTTTGTTTTGGAACTTCACCAAAGGGATCCACCAATGGCAGAGAAAGTGGTCTTGCAACGGTTCCCATGTGAATAGGCTCTGGCTTCCATCCAGGAGTTGGTACCATGATCGGATCTTCTTGAGCTCTTCTCAAGATCCTATACTTCCCAGGATGTTGGCTCTGCGGCACATGATCCCCCACCCATTCAGCTTTGCTGTTGGCTTTCTCTACCTCCTTCTTATGTCGCCAATGGAGCTGGCTACTACCTCCAGATGTTGCTCTTTCCAACTTTTGAGTTTTTGAGGTTTCAGAGGTAGTGGGGGTTTTTAAGGAATTCATGTAGGCCTTGTGCTGCCTTTGAACCCTCCTGATCATAGAGGCTCCCATTGGTTTGGTAGGCTGTCCGTTCTTTCCGACTACATACCATTTCCGCCCGAGGTGGGCAGAATTCCCTTTTCTGTCGGGATTAGCTATCCCATCAGTTCTCTTGACTTCCCTCCTCATCTGGCCATTCTGAGGATAATCTGCACCTCTTTGGATTGTGGCCTCCATTTTTTCTGCCTCGTCAGAAGCTTCATGGTTTCGAAACACTTCTGATAAAGCCTTGGGCTGGGAATCACCTCCTAAGCTTTGAAAAACACTTCGGGAGGTGTCCTTCCTTGTTGCCTGCTTATTTCTCTCGCGGGCCTCTCTTCTTGCATCTTCTTCCTTCCTCCTAATTAACTCGTGATCAATGAGGACTCCAGCCGAAGGAATCTCGAGCTCACACTCACACTGGCATTTACTGCACATAACCATCCCTTTGATTATGGCAGCCTTTGGATACACGGGTAGTTTGTTTATTTTCTCCGTAGGTTTCTTGGCCAGTCTTTCTTCTTCTTCCCTTGTAATCTTCCCTTTTCCCTTCTCCGCCCATGTTATATTCAGCATATTTATAGGGGCATCCGGAAAGGGACATGCAGGGTTGATTATCACGTCCATCTCGTCTGGCTGGTTGTTTTCACGTCTTTTTCCTCTGGGAGGAACAACTACATCAATATCACTTCTAGAGCTCGTGGAGGCTTTCTCCAAGCGTTGCAACATTTGAAATAACGTGTTCTGCAAGTCTTCTGGCATATCCGTTTCTCTATCTTCTGATTGGTAAATCCCACCGGGCGTGCCAAAACTATGTTCGTGGCAGGAATTTCCGCTGGGGATGTTTCCTGGCTGACGAGCACACAGCTCCCCTGGAGGTTGGCGCCGGTTGAGGGCTGCTGTCGGGCTTCTACTTCATTTCTGGGCGTTGTCGGGCAAGTCTCGTCGGGCAAGACTCTTCGGGCAAGGCTCTTCGGGCAAGGCTGAAACAGAAGGACAGAGTTAACTTTGAGAGGTGCCTTTGTGGGGCCTTAGGTATAGGCCTTGAGGCTCACAATCAAGGTTAACATTTAGGTGCTCAGGCGTGCCACTGCCATCTTTAGCATGGCAGATGTAAAATGGTTGTCGTTCTTTCATTGTATATATATATATATATATATGTATCCAAGAAACCGTGTTTAGTTATAACAGGTGCCTTTGTGGGGCCTTAAATGTAGGCCTTGAGGCTTCCCATACATAACTAAACCAGTACTCGAACGCATCATATGTATTCTTGTGATTGTAGGAGTCTTCTAACTATTATATTTCTGATTACCCGAATCCAAGGAATAGAACGAACCCAAATGGGTGCCTTTGTGGGGCCTTAGGTGTAGGCCTTGAGGCTTCCCATCAGAGTTCATTCTTATGCTTAGACTCTTAAGATCGCTGAATAGGATGAATCCAAATGGATGCCTTTGTGGGGCCTTAAGTGTAGGCCTTGAGGCTTTCCATTAGAGTCCATCCCATGCTTAAGCGTTCTATGATAATCATGATATAATAGAAAGAAAACTAGAAGGTAGGTCGATTACTTGCGCCCCAAGTAACTTCGGACTTCTCGTTTATCAAGGATTGTCGTGGATGGGTTAAGTCCACATAAAGTTCTTTTTTATGCCTTGAGGCCAAGGACTTTTAAACTAATCAGATTTACATGCCTGCGGGCTTAGGACTTGGATCTAATTTAAGCATTGAAGATATATTTAAATCAGATCCAAGTGTTGAGAAAGCTTTGTCATCGTGATTTTACTAGAGACAACTTGTATATAACTAAAAACATACAACATATCGCTAGACTTTAAAGAAAGAAAAGACAAAGACAGAACAAAGCAGGTCGGGCAAGATTAAACCTTATCAATTAAGGCTGATCGTCTTGCAGGTCCCTATCTTTGTGGTTCTGTCAAAGGTCTAAAAGCTTAGGTGGAGAGGGGAAAGGAGAATACAAAAGGGTGAATCGATACTACAACAAGTTTGAACAAGGTAGCAGAGCTATTACAAAGTTTAGGAGAAAAGATTATCCCGAGGGGGATGAAAGCTTGGGCTGACTACAGCTTCGTTTGAAGGCAAATCTGGCTTTTTGAGCAGAGTTTGTGCTTTTGTTTGTTTGATTGAGTGTCTTTATTCCTGTCTTCTCTTCCTCCTTTTATAGACTACTCAGTTTGGCTCCTGTAGCAACAGCTTTGCCCGAATGCGGTCTGAGGGTGATGACTCATCAGCTTTATTACATGTAATGCCACCATAAAGTACTTTATGGGCTGTGCAGTCTGATCAGTCTATACCACTTGGTCCTTGGGTAGGTAGGCAAGTGGCCTTTGTGAATTGTATCAAGTCAGAAAAGGCCCTTTCCTGCCTTCCCAAGTCTCGGCTGGGCTTTGATCTTCTATTCCTCCAGGCCTCCTTTTGGGCCGACTCCATCTTTGGGCCAAAAATCAAGTTTTAATCCAAACACTTCCAAAGATCCACTTCTAATCCACCTGCCGAATTATGGAAGAGTTTGGAATCGAACAAAAAATCAAAGATGTCTAGTCAACTAAATTCCACTCCAATGGCCAAGATATGTGGAAGAGACAACCGAAAAAAGTGAATAAAAACAAGTCTCAAGCTTTGAAATTTAAGAAAACACAAAAATATGCAGTGCCTCATTGTCTTGCATCCACACCAAATTTTAAAGCTACACAGTGGAAGAAAGGAACATGAAGAAGAAACATGGAGTGGTTCCTCATTTCAATGATCCACCATCTTTGACTTAATCTCGGCATGGTCAGGTTGAGAACTTTAAACCAAGCGCTTGTAAGGAGGCAACCTAATCAGGTTCTTGCGTTCCTTATTTTTCGTTATTTTTTCATATTTTCTTCATTCTTTTCCCGGACTGGTCATTGCATGCTTTTGTTATGGTTTTACATTGCGGACAATGTTTAGTTTAGGTTTGGGGGGGGGGGAGTACTTTGTTAGTATTTTATGTTGAGTCATCTGAATTTTTGTTTTTAAGGTAAAAAAGTTTAAGGTATTTATGTTCCAAGTTGATAAATATTGATTTCTTCATACATAGAATGTTTCGAGTATGTTTACTTTGTCATTGCAGATGTGTTTGGGGTGGTTTTATGGTTAAAAGGCCAAAGAAAGGAGAAGGATGCATGTAAAGTTCATATTTTGGTCTTAATTGATTTAACTGCCCAAATTATATTTAGATGTTTGCAAGTTAATTTGATGATGTCAACATGTTTAGAATATTGAATATGATATTTTGGAATATGTTTGGGGATAAATTCGCTTATATTGTGAATTGACGGGTTTAAAGGCTCTAAAAGTGATAAATCAAGGAAGGTTGCTGCAGAAAAATTCCAATTTTTTTCTCATTAAATAACTTTTTGTGACGACCTTCATACAAATTTTATCGCTAAAGAAGCTGTACATATATTTAGAGACCATCTAGGGGCAATTATTTTGTCCCTAAAAAGTTTTTTTTTTTTCCTTCAGAATTTCTCTTTTAAGGACGGCAACAATTTGGCTCAGATCCTTCATCTTGGAAGCTTATTCTTCTTTCCACTGGAGCCAAAAAATAGGCGTATCCTCTCTCTAATTTCTATCTTTTCATCTATAGGTGAATTGTGCATTTAGTGTTAAAAGGAGGAGGTAGAAAATAAATTTGGGGATAGGTGTTAGAAATTGTTTGAAATAATACGAATTTTGATTATAAGATGTTAAGGTTATCACTTTAATTTGTTTTGTTCCTGCAACATGAGTCCTAGACGCCAAGAATAGAAGATCAAGGTTCAAAAAGAAGGGCCGGCCGAATTACAAATGAAGAAGTCTCGATATATCTCAAATTCTAGTTTTCTCTAACCGTTCTTTCATAGCCCATAACCTAGCCTTACGTTACAATCATGATGAAGACCTAACAGGTTTATGGGAAAGTCTTGCTTAAGTGGTGAAGGTAAATACCTATGTTCTAAGTGTTTGATTCCTTTATGGATTTTTTTTCTTCATAAATTGTTATTTTTCATTACTACTCATATGTGGTAATATTCCGATTCCCTTTACATAAATTCATAACATATATTTGTTAAGAGTGAAAGCTTAGGTTAAGAAAATAAAGAGAGAACAATTCTCGAACTCTTAATTTGAGCCATTGGATCAAATTCAAAAGTGAAATATACGTCCATCAGTACTCAAGCAAAATGAAGGATCAACATCAGTTGAAGAAAAGAATAGTACAAGCTTGAACTTTGGCTTTTCAATCTCCAATTACATGAAGGATGAGATTCCTTTAAGAATAAAAACAAAGACAAAGTAAAGGCATGACAGGAAGGGAGTGGGATCCACACTCAAAGCCATTTCCACACCATCAACAAAACCTGGTTTGGCGGCATCATCGCACGACTTGCAAGTCAAAGAGCAGTGGCACTCACTTGGTTGGGTGACTTTTGTTTTATATATACAAACTTCACTTGCTATGCTTCTTCTGCTTTGTTCTCCCAAGGCAAAAGCATCTGATAATCTTGCTTCCAAATTTCCAAAACATTTGAACGAGGGATGGGAAACATCAGCAGCAGCACCGCCACATCAACAACCGGACAATCGGTGCCGGACATGGTGCTTGCGATCAGATTCCATCCCACTGAAGAGGAAATGGCAGACTTCTTGTGGAAGAAAATGAAAGGTCACAACTCCCAAGCCTGCCATTCCCTCCCTGTCATCGATGTCTGCAAGTTCGAGCCTTGGGATTTGCCTGGTAACCCGTTATTCTACCTCACTTTTTCTTAAAACCAAGGTATTTTTTTTCACTGTATGATTTTTGTGCATGCATAATCTTGTTTGATTTGTTCAAGACTAGGACCTCGTTTGGCATCTAGGATTAGATTGGATTAGATGAGTTACTAGGTTGATGGATGTATGTTGAATGAAGATATAGATATCAACTTCTAAGTTTGTCCAAATTGGAGGTAGAAGATGAATTCGCCACAGTGGAAAGTAAGAACTGGGTTTTGAAGAAAAAGTAGTCCATCTTAGACCTTCAATATAGTGAGTTCCCCAATTCAATCCAATTCTACACACCAAATGACCCTGAATCTAACAAGTTATCAAATCCAACCAATCCTAGACACTAAACAAGGATATTAAGTAGGTTAATTTCAAATTTTAAATATCTTTCTTTGTGTTGCAGAGCGCATGTTCCCTGACACTCGATATCAAGCTAAGGCATGGTACTCATTCAGCCAGCCTGATTACAAATACATCAATAGTCCTCGCTGCAACAGGATCACTGAGAAAGGCTTCTGGAAAATCACAGGCAAGCCACGAGATATCAGCTCCACACATGTCACTTGCAAAAAGAGAACCTTGACCTTCTACAAAGGTCGTGTGTCTAAATCCGAGAGGACTGGCTGGGTGATGCACGAGTACTATTTCACTAAACCTAAACAGGGTTCTAATACCAGTCAGGGGAGGGATCCGCTGAGGGACTTTGTTCTTTACCGCTTAAAGAAGAAGCCAGCTAATTCTATGTCTGATAACAAGAATCTTCAGGATACTTTGATCGGTGATGATTTAACTGATCCTGGTAATGGTAGTTGCATTGCATCTAGTTCCGGAAATGATCAAGCAGCTACTGCTGCTGCATTGAATCATGATATGACTCCAGCTGCAGAAGAACTTCTTGCATGCCAAGAGCTAGAAGATGATCTGTTTGACAGTGGAAATCATGATCGTGGCGAACCTGGTGGCGGCATCTCATCTGATTCTACTGATCAAGTTCTACGTGACATGATTCAACAGGTTTGGTTTTATGTCCCCCTCGTATGTATATCTTTATTTAATTATTTTGTTTTCATAAACACGGGATTGGAGGGAGGTTTATGGATGTGTTGGTTCTCTCTCCTTCATGACTGAGACTAGCACTTAGTGCCTTTGACGGACATGAGCTAATCTCGCCCAGTCCTCTGTTTTATTAAGAAGAAGAAAGAAAAAAAACCACCTTTTTGAACATTTTCTGATGTAAACTTGATAATATGGAGCACAAAAAGTACATCAAACTTAGCACTTGCTTATTTTGTGATTCTTAATCTTGCAGTGGAAGTCGTGTGCTCCGGTAGGTGAATATCTGAATTCACTCTTGACTCTTCCTGAGCCACCTCAGCCACCTCAGCCACCTCAGCCACCTCAGCTTGGAAATGCTCCTGATGTCTGTAGTGATGAATTCGTTGATCCTAGTACTGGTGGCTGCATCACCTGTAATACTGATAACCAAGATGCTGCAATGAATCATATGATTTCCGCTGAAGAAGAAATTCTGGCATACAAACAGCTAGAACGTGCTTTGCTTGGCAATGGCGATCATGATGATGGTGAACCTGGTAGCGGCGGTTCATCTGATTTTAATGATCAAGCTGTAGATGATATGATTCTGGAGGTGAGGATGAGTACACGTTTTAAACATTCTGATGCGAACTTGGTAATACGAAACACAAGAAGTTATTAAAAATTTAACCTTGGCTTTGTTTTGTGCATCCTAATATGGCAGCTTTCTGCGGAGCTACAAAAAGATTCGGATTCACCCTTTCCTCCTCCCGAGCCATCTCAGACAATTCAGCCACACCAGCTGGGAGATGCTGCGGACGTCCATAGTGGCAAATTCAGTAACTGTCCGTCTCCAACCAATTATGACAACGAATCAGTTATCAACATCGTTTATAATTCTCAAAATCGTGCTACAAGTGAAAGGATTTCCGAGGTGATGATGAATTTTTTATTATATAAACTTAATACGGTGCACTAGAAGTACATCAAAACTTAACACTTGCTTGTCATGATTCTTCATCCAGGCTTATTCTCAGCGAGAAGAAAATCGGGAATCACCCTTTCAACCGTTTGATCATTACCCATTGCAGTCACCATTATTTTCCTCAGAACTGGGAGAGCTTATGCTTGCCAATACCTATATTGGAGGCAACGAGTCGCAATCTTTAAATATAGAGCCTGCGACTCTTTTCCCGCAAAGTTCTTGAATAACAGAGGCATCGTACACTCCTTCCAATGGCTCCAACCTATAAGAGTCATTGTGATGGGTGTATGATGGGGATAGTGGAGTAACCAGTGATACTGACGCCGAGTTACTCCACGGACGTGCAAAAGAATATTCTGCATTAGCTATTGGAGAAACACTCCAATATTGTTAATGAACAACGATACTCTTATCTGTAGGAGAATATTAAGAGGGCCTTGTAAGAATGGGTCCCCAACTCTCTGATATTCTCCTACAAATACTTCAAAAACACTCAAAAACACTCACAGTTATCTACATTTCTGCAACCAAGTTAAGTAGTCTTTGAGGCACGACATTGCTTTTGGACAATTATGTCCAAATCTTTGTTGTGTGTCACAGAATCCCCAAGTTTTTATGCTTCAACCTTGTTAGGTGAACTTTTGTTGGTACAAAGGAACACCAGGAGATGCAAATGGTTGAAATGCTATCTGGAACTCTACCGTTCTCAGAGCGTGACGAGTCCAGATAAAGTAATAATGTCTTTTCTCACAAGCATTATTTGAAGACGATACTTCCTCTATCAACACAGCTACATGTATTCCTCAGACGAGTAGCTTCTATCCTACAGTCAAACAACACACGACTCCAATGTACACCAACATCCATTCCTGTCTACCCACATGGAGATGCTCCAAGAAGAATCCGAATGCAGGGCAGTGTCACGAAACAAGGTGAGGAAATCAAGCTGAAAACATGAAGTGAATACTCTCTGGCTTTGTCCCTGTGATTAAACGAATACTTTTATGTTTATCCCTTGACTCCAATAAGCTATTTGCTATGTTTACTGAAGTACTTAATTTGATTTTGTATGTGCAGGACAGTGAAGCTGCAGCTAGCGCATTGTATTGCTTTCTGCTCATACCGTTTGAAGCAGGCATGGAATGTGCGGTGAAATGAAGGGTTCTTTCAATTTCCAGGAAGCATCTCCATTATGCAATATCAAGTCGTCCATGGTAACAGTATTTCAATTCCAACCAAGTTCTATGATTTTCGATCAAAAGCGGATTTGCTTTGTTCCGCATTCACTATACAGGAGCTGCTGCTACATGGCTGCTGGAGACTCAACTGATACATTAACATAACCAGACACTAATGTGATGTCATGGTTATGAAAAGTGAGGCTTTGAGTTCCATCCTTGATGGAGTACTAGTTACAATTATATTTTTTGTTAAATGTATGATTAAAATCGAAGGTCTTAAACTTATCAATGACCTATCTTAACTGTGAAACACCAAAACTTGTATCTTTGTTAATATGGCGTTTATTATCATGTCCTTGAGAATGTTATATCAAAAGAAAATCATTCTTGTGAATGTGGCTTATTTTGAACATTTGAATGTGGAATGGAGTATTTTGTTTTGTTTTTTTCTTTTTGCTTTTGAACTGTGGCGTATGTTTTCTCCTATTTTTGCCATTTAAATACTGGTTTCGGGCATTTTACTGTCATGGCTCCTAATGTTATAGACCAAATGGAGCAATGAAGCAACGAATGAGGCAGAGAATTTGAATCTGAGATTTAATTTTAGGAAGAGAAGAATGATGAGACCAAGAGTTAGTTGTCATGTAAAGAACTTACTTTGACATATTTTTCTTCTCTTAAACCATTTAAGCTACAAACTCCTTGATAATTGTCAACGTAAAAGTTTTATGGTAGTCCAATCGATATAAAATCTAGACCACTCTCAAATTGTTGGACGGGTTCAAAATCATCTTCTAAAAAAGGAAACATATTGTAGCATTGTAAGTGTCTCAGGCTCTCAACCACGAAGGAAGCTTATGTTCCCCATAAAACTCCATTAGTAATATGAGTCGTAGCCTAACTCCTTAGAGGATCTCTAGTGTGAGATGCACAATGCATTAAAATAGTCAATTTATATTTTTGAGTGGCCGAAGGCTCTTCAATAGGCGAGATGTAAAATACATGCCTTGATCGGAAAAAGAGAATTTGCATATTCTTTTCTTTTACATCTAAATGGCTCTCCGCTAGTCAAATTTCATGGAGAAAATTATATTCTCTTACTTGGACAAAAACGTCTTTGACTCACATCTTAGAGTCTAGGATGTCTCTTGCTTGGTTATCAAGAGTAACAAGGAACTATTTTTATAAATAAATAATGTCCCTTGCTTCATATGCATGGTAATAGTAAAGCAAAGGGAAGAAGAGCATAGAGTAAGGAATTTGAAGATGGGTTACATAGTATTCTTTTTCTTTTTTTTTCCCAATAGATAGTGTTTTTTTTTTTTTTAAACTATTGATCTTCAATCATATTTTATAAATAATTTCCGTGCACTTTTTTCTCTTTTTCATACATGTATTTGATACATTTCGACTCAGAATGTTCACTTGGACTCCGAATCGAGTTGTGCTGACCGATACCAGGAAGGTAACAAAGCCATAAAGTGTAATGAGATGAAAAATGTGAATAAATTTAAACCTAAAAGTGCCTAAATACAAGTGCGCGTGTGAGCGGGAATGAACCAAATTCACACGTGATGCCAAAGTATAAGCGAAGTACAGTAAAGGTAGGATAAGAATTATACCATTAAAGGTAATCACCTATACCGAGATTTGCCAATAATCCTTATCGACACGAAAGCTTAGCTACTAAAACCTAGAGGGGCCAAAAATAAGGGTGAGTGGGTCTAAAAATAAAGCTTTGTAAAAACCTTTTCAAAAATGTATAACCCATCGCCATAAAACAAGTATAGTTTCCAAATATAACATACTACGTATAGTATGAAAATACTTACCGTAGCCAACAATATCTAAAAAAATGCAATACTTCACAAAAATTCGTAAATAAGCATATAACTTCCGGTAATCACAATATCACTGAAATAAACATTCACATCGAGTGCTCATCGACACATGCTGACACACGAGTTCATGCATAGGTATTCTGACATGAACAGGACTGGATGTAATAATGATTTACGCTTTAGTACTACAATCAAGTGAAGACTGGTGTTATGCGTAACACATACGAGTCCTAATTGCCTATAGCAATCTAGGATAGGACTGGCACCTACAATGGATCCAAAGTAAGTGTATGGTGCTATGCGAACATACACATAGAGGTGGGTTCGGTTTCGTTTTGTTCCCTTTTTTGCCAAAACCGAAAACCAAACCAAAGTTAATGTTATGTTCGGTTCAGTTTTTCTTCAGTTTTTTTTGTTTGATTTTTTTCAGTTTCGATTTATTTCTGTTCAATTTCAGTCCGGTTCAGTTTTTTTCATGATTTTTTTTAATATGGATATTGGTAAAGAAACAAATCTGCAACAACACTGCACATACTCATCAAACCACTATCTTCATCTACAAATCACAACAACAATTATATTCATTTAGCCGAAATTTAAATAACTAACAACCACACAACACAAAAATCGAACAAAATCTGCAAACTTGCTTACTCTTTTTCTTTGGGGTTTCACTCGATAAGTGTGGGCAAAGTTTAGAGTTTGCAAGACTTGTGGACTGCTATTGATGCAGCAAAATACGAAGATGAGAAAAAAGAAGAAGAGGATGATTAGAGAGCAAAACAGAATGAAGGTCCAGCTAGGGAGAAAAAAAGGGAGAGAAGAATGAAGGTGCGGCTGAAGTCCAGGAATGGTTAGGTGGTTTCTGGGTTTTAAAGGGTGGGTGGCTGCTGAGCTTTGAATCCGAGAAAGAGAGAAAGAGTCTGAGACTGAGTGAAGGCAGATGAGAAAGGAAAAATGAAATGAGAGAAAGTGAGTAGGGAAGTGTCGGCTCGGTTTTCGATTGAGAGGAAAGAAGGGTTAGGTGGTGGTTTCTGCATTCTGGGATATAGAGAAAGATATTACGCGTGAGATAAGACAGAGAATAAGAAAGAGACATAGATAGAGTTTTGTAAAGCAAGCATCCATGTGCTTGATATAACTTTTGTCAGCACACGGTTTCTAGGTTGTAAAGAGAGATAACAGAGAATGAGAGAGAGAGAGACAGATTTCTGTCTTTAGAAAGCAAGCACCCATGTGCTTGATACAACTTTTGTCAGCCACATTTTAGTTATTTTAATAATATAATAATTGCCCATTACACATTCCAACACACACACACACACACACATATATATACAAAACAGATAAATAAATAATTAAATACTAATTTAATTAATTTGGTTCGTTCAGTTTTTTCAATTTGGTTCAATTTGGTTTTTTTGATCTCGGTTTTTTTTTCTTTTCAGTTTTCGATTTTTTGAACCTACCCCTACATACACATGAAGTCTGGCCCTAGCCCGAGCGAGTCCTGATACCATTGTAGCACACGATGAGCAATTCACGTAAATATAGTCATGCCACAATGATTCAATAATTCTAGTCGACATAATACTATTCGTAGCCGTAAATCTAATTAAGACATCCCATAGGATTTATAATGATTTCCTAATTCTCATCATTACGTCGTTTCCTATAAACGTTAATTTAATTACGGCATCACATAGAAAATTCATTATTAGATGTATATATGGAAAGTAAACAAATATATATACTACATAAAAGAAAAGACCCACTCACAAATCATGTCGTCAAGTCTAACTCGCCTTGCAGCTATCGGGGGTCCTTGCAATGCGCTTTGCCTATAAATGAAATCATTTACGTAAATATATAATATACTAACGTATAAACGCGTTTTTAGTATAAAGACAACTAATAAAGAAATTAT